CCTCATTCCTATCCAAGCTCGTTTACTCCTCTTATGCTTTTGCCCTTTGACCGTTTGACCGTCACTTTGAAAAGTTCATAACGAATTCATACTATGTCATAAAAAATTCAAATAAGATACAAAATGTTCGAAAAAATGTCACCTATATCTGCATGCCATTTACATTCATGACAAAAGTGTTGGAAGGCCCCCATCTCAATATGAGCTCATATGATGTCAACATGAATAGTAAAATCCAAAAAAATTGAAAACACATTCAAAAATTCCGAATTCTTTTAGTGGCAAACATTGACAAATGTTTTGACTGATCGCAAAGTTTCATCATGGAATGACATTTATGGAAGTCATGGCGAAAAAAACAAAATCAACACTCTAAAATGCTTTTGTTTTGGAGCATCAGTTTTATTTTTTTGCCATGACTTCCATGAATGCCATTCCTTGATGAAACTTTGCGATGACTCAAAACATTAGTCAATATTTGACACTAAAAATATTCAAAATTTTTTGAATCTATTTCCAATTTTTTTGAATTTTACTATTCATGCTAACATCATATGAGCTCAAATTGAGATGGGGACCTTCCAGCACTTTTTTCATGAATGTAAATGACATGGAGATATAGGTGATGTTTTTCTGAACATTTTGATATCTTATTTGAATTTTTCTGTGTTAGTATGAATTCGTTATGAAGTTTTCAAAGTGACGGTCAAAGGGTCAAAGGACAAAAGCATCAGAGGAGCAAACGAGCTTGGACAGAAACGAGGTTTTTTTTTAATTTAGGGGCAAATCAAACGGGTGTGACACAACTAGAGGCTCAAATGTAATTGTCTCTTTTTAAATATTCAGGAAGGTTGTTATATTCAAGGACATTTTTCAAATTCGTGAACAATTTTCATATTTATGATTATTTTTAAACTGGGAAAATTTTCTGAAATCAGATAACATTTTTCGAATTTCAACTTTTTAAATTCATGAATATTAAAAAATTTATGAACATTTATTAAACTCTTGACATTTTGACTTAAAAAAATTCACAGTCATTTTTCTAAATTCATGATTTATTCAAGAGTATTTTTTCCAAAAAATCGACTAAAATAATAGAATGAAGCAGGACAGATCCCACAAATTAATATTACGGTCTTTGGTGTAAGAGTTCTTGTCCGCAGTATTTTTTGTTTGAGGGAAAGCCTTCATGGTACGGATATTCAGTTTGGCTATTCATTGTGTAAAACAATCTCATCCTCAGCCAAATGTGTGAAACTAAAGTCTGGCGAGGTCATGGTGGGGAGAATATTTGGTGCACCGGTGCACCGGACTCACGTTGCATATTTTAAAATGTTTAAAAATTCTGAAAACAAATTTGCACAGTCACACAATGTAAATGTAGGTTGCCACAAAATTCGAAACATAGCTCCGGAAACAAAAATGACAAATTCAACACTCAATAGTACATAACGTAAGCTGGGCTTTAGATTTGGCCCATTAGCATATTGATGCGAAATTTGTTATTTTGTATATCAAAAATATCCTAAATTTGGCCCATTAGCATATTCTACATATACTAAACCTGGCTAGGTTTAGTTTATCCTGTTTTTTTTTTAATTTTTCCTATCATAAAAAATTGACCAACTGATGACTGACACGTGTAATACTAGGGGACACAGCCATGTATCTTCCTGGGTGTGCGGAGCAGCAGCCAATGGGAACTCAAAAAAAATACGTCGACCCGTTGACGGTTGGTTGCATGCCTTCCGACGTTTCCGGGTCGCGATTGGATACGTCGCTGGCGGTTGCGAAGATCAGGTTGGATTCGATGTCCTCTGCATGTGCCTACATGCGCTGCTGCTTATCTTTTCTTTTTTTTTCCCGTCCTGCAGCTTCTCGATTCCTTCTGTTGGCGGTCGCCGCTTCCATACTGTTTTCTCACCTTTTCCTGCCGCCTCTGCTGGTCGCTTCCGATTTGGTCTCCTCATTGCTGCTACCTCCTATAAATACTGGTGGGCGTCCGACCCTCATCCTGCTCGCTGCTGCCTGCCCTCTTTTTTCTCTGATCAGTGCTAGCGTGGCGATGGTTCCTCCTGGTGCTTCTGCGTCTGGCCGCCGCCGTCGGGGCCACCCCCTGGGATTCGGGCTGCTGTTATTGCCCGTGTGCGCCGCGCTGGCGGCCGTCGGTAGCAACACGGGTCCCGTGCCGTGGCTCTCGGCCCCGGACTTCGCCCTTTCGTGCTCCCCGCGACCACAGGCATGTCCTCCGGCTTCGGTGGGGAGTGGATCCAGAGCGCGGGCCGCTGTGGTGACCAGCTGTGTGGAATCTAGGCCTCAGCCAGGGATAGGAGACACGTGCGTATGCAACCCAACTCGCAAGTCTGGCGACCTCAGCCGTTGAGGTGACGACGACACATCAGTTTGTGGCGAGGCGCGCGAGCGTACCCTGGGGCAACTTCTTGAGGAAGGGAAGGTGGGGCGTTTCCAGCTCGCGCCCCGTCAGGCCGTCCGCGCGCCGCAATCCCTGTCGGTCATCGTGGTAGATGCATGCCTCGAGCTGTCCAGAGCCACCCGTTCCTCGACCTTGCATCCGGCTTTCCGAGGAACCTCGCGTCAGCCAAGGTCACCGGAGCCCTGCTCTGCTGCAAGCCACTGGCGTACCGAGGGTACAGGGCGGTGATCGCAACATTATACGAGGGCCCTGCGAGCGACGGACGCGGACTGCCAGGCATGGAGCAACTATCAGACCTTGGTGGCGTGCTTCCGGTGCAATATGAGTGCAAGGTCGATGTGCAGGCGACCGCCTCGGCTGCTGCACCCTTCGTGCCAACGGCCGGCGGCGCCGCAGCTGCGACGGCCGTTACTACTTATTGCTATTTTTGTTCATGGGACCGGGATGGTTGATTTCATGTTTCTGATTCAGAGAATCAGAGTAAATTTTTGTGCTTAATGCGATGTACAGATGTAGGGCAACTACGTATCTTCTCTTTATCATGTCCTGTTTTAATTCTATCTGCCTCACTAGGATTGCAAACATCTTTGACAGATTCCTCAAAGGCCCCATCACTTGCTTTGATGAGATGGACGTCCAGTAGGTGCAACAATTTAGTTTAAACTAAATAACATTGTTGGCTCCTTTTACTTGTGTCACCTATTAATCTTCCTTCTCTTTTCCATGAAGAAAATCATCAATGAGGTGACAAAGATGAAGAATGGGAGCAATAGGATTACGATCACCATGAGGTAGTACGTGAGTGAGGACCTGAATACTCTGACTCTGCGAGATGTGAGCAATCTTGAGTAGCAGATTGAGTTCTCTCTGTACAAGGTTCGCCCAAGGAAGTTAACAACCCAACTACTAGATGCAATAGTTTCGTGTGCACATTGTAATACCACCTGGAACTGTTATATTTTTTTTAGCAGAATGTGGACCTTATTAAGACCTATATATCAAAGATTCAGCAGTTGGAAGCTGAACTAACACGGCAGATATTCTCCGCTGCTTGCAGAAATTGTTTGCATGATAAACTTGCACTGGATAAGGGCATGCTTATAGACGATCTAGATTTTGGTTGTGAAGTAGGAATATTCAAGTGTCAAGTAAGTTACAGTACTGTAATACTATGATGTGTTTATGATACTTTCTCTAATAAGCACTTCTTTTTCAGATGAAGAATAGAAGGAAAGAGAAGTTAGTGAACACTCCTCCATACAGGAAAAACTGGATATGGAGCTGTAAGATCAAAAAAGGACATCAGCAAGAGGAGATACAATACTATTTTACTTCCTTATAATTATAAATGTTCATATACGAATTTACAACTTATCTGGCTCAACTTCGACTCTTTGTTCACATGTACTGATAATCTTCATTCCACCATCCATTATAAACTCATTTTCAAAGATAACCACACTTAACCTACGATTATAATTAACAGTTATAACTGTGCTCTCTGGTATTGTGTTCTTTGTTCCAAATGGAAGTGTAATTCTACCTTTTTTTAATCTAAATTTCTGAAGGTTGATATGACACAATTTATGAAGAGTGACACCACTGTTCTGAAGTAACATCATGAGACGAAGTTACATGAGATGGAATAAGAAAGGACAGCTCTTCAGGTTTTATCTGCTGTAATTTGCTGACTCCTTAAAGCACAAACAGTAGAAATCTTATTTATATTTACAAAAAGAAATCGAGGATCTCGATCATGCATCACCGAATATACCTTCCTCAACTGACGAGGGCACACAGAAAAAACAGAAAAAGAATGAAAATTATCTCCAGAAGATGATCATGATTGAATCTCAGGTTTTGAAATTCTCTATTTCCCGTTAGGTTTCTGTTTTGTTGTTTTTTGGAGTTCTTTTACAGTCTTAAACTGGTTATTGAGTGCATGACACGTGTATTAGTTGAGGGCCTTCCCACCAACTTTTACCCATGGATTAATTAAGTAAATTCTTCACTTCCTTTCTGCAACTTCGGTTAATTTTCAAGCTCATATTTATATAGTCCATGTATAAGATCAACAGGTTGTTATGACCGGTTTAACGTATAACCGGCGGAGGCCCACGGGGCAGTAGTTAGGGGCTTGACCCACAAGTTATCTTAGGCTATTCAAGGTTATAAATATTAGTTGTAAAACACTTTTTGAAGATTAAGTAATAAAAATATTTTCTATCCTATTGCCCGGCTCTAGAGGAGCCGGAACCATAGCCGCCACCAGCCCTAACTGCCGCCGCCCTCCTCCTTCCTCGCGACGGCGCCGACGCGCCTCCTTCCTCGCGACGGCGCCGACGCGCCGGAGCTCGCGCCCTCGCCCCCAACCTCTGCTGTTCTGCTCCTACAACCTACGGAGCAGAGCGTACAACCGAGTGTGTCATCCTCTTAAGACGCATGGAGAAAATGGATGCCGTTTGGCAACCGCAGCCACGTCCAACGATGACTCACCCACTTGTACGTGCTCTATATATAACCAGTTGTACATCCATCAAGAAGATAAGCCAAGTACACCACAATGGACGAAGCTTACCACCCACAAAGAGCATCCTCCATGACAAAACAAGTTAAGAAAAAGGGCAAGCATCCAGCCCTAAATTTTAATCGTGGGAGCGGAAGCAGCTCGGTAAACTCCTGGCTCTATCTATTTTTTTATTACCGTTTGTCCCTTGCAAGCAAGAAATTTAATATAGCATAAATTTTCTTATACAGCAGGAAAATCTTATCGTTTACATCCTGAGGCGACCAATGCTTGAAACAGTTACTGAAACAATTCGTTTGAAAGTACAAGGTTATACATGTTGGTACGTCCATGAAGGTATGATGCAAGCATCTGTATTAATTGCTCTACCACGCCAGGAAGGCAGTTTTAGAGAATCTTCCATCACATATGAAGGAGAGTCAGCTAATACAGAAGATGAAGCAATGGAGAAGGCAGCTCAAATGGCCTTAGAATGCATTTGTGCAGACTATAACATTTCTGTTAATGATCACAATTACTATGCCCTTGAAGTCACAAAAGAAAGGTTGTTTACAGCAAGAGAGAAAGCTCAAACAAAGCAATGGCAATTCAACATGGCTCGCCAACAAGTAACTACACAGCAGAATGAATTTGCGAGGCAAACAATGATCCTGGCAAAGATATGCAACAATTTTTATGATATACTACCACTCCGCATGTATCCCCAACGTCCAACAAGCAGTGACCCCATAATTACGTACACAGGCGCACACCGTCCCGTCCGACGTATGGAAGAATTTGCAAAGTCACTTTACCATTTTATCACAGGCACAAACCCTGTAGGAGGCTACACCAGAATGATCTAATTCATCAACAACTACTTCTAGCTTTGTCAGCATGCTTTCGTTTGTACGAGTGGTTCTTTTAGCTTATTTACATGGTGTGTTTCTGTTTCTGTAAGCAGTTCTCCACGTAGGATGAACTGTATGCAATTTAGTTATTTGTAGTGTGTCACTTTTAATATTTACTTATGTATCCCTATATCTATCTACTGTCAACAGTTTCATATGTCCAATTCCTTCAATGTTTTTATGTATTATTATGAGACTAAATGTGCACGCAACAAACTGAAAATCGAATCAACAGATTGTCCATTCGCGAGTGATCACCGAGCGCGGCGGCTAGTTGGTGCTATCCGGTGCAAGTGTCAATGTGCTAGATTTTTTTCACTGTTTTGAAATGTTCTACAACATCCAGTGCACCGATAGCACCACACTTGCACCGGATATGTTCCCGGTTATGGTGCCACACATTGCCCCCTTCCTCGTCAGGATTACAATCTAAAGTAAGTGAAACTTTTTTTTTGCTTCCATAGGAAAATGATAAAATTTAACAATAGTGAAAGCCTACACAAAAAGGTACACTCTTCATAGATAGTTGCAGTGGCCTAATATTTCTTCAACGTATCTATAATTTTTTGCATTGTTCATGTCATATTTTCATCATTTCAACAAAGTTTTGAAGTTTATTTGTACTAACCTATTAATAAAGTGTCATGTGCCAGTTTATGTTTTCCATTTTTTATTTTTTCACAAAAATAGGCATATTAAACCTCCGTAAAAAAGTTGAAAAAAATACGATGTTAATTTATGTATCAAGGAACATCCAGGGGCCTGAACTTGGGCTAGGAGGGCCCATAGCCCAAGGGCACCTAGTGTGACTAGGCACTTTGAGAACCATCTGAAGCCCTCCTTTGGCCACAAGCTTGCCCCCGAAGTTTTGCAACCGCCTTATATTTTAAGGTTTTTTTGAGTGATGGATATCCAGAAAAAAGATAAAACTGTGACAAGACTCAAATTTTAGCGTCCAGAAACATGCCCCTTAAGAATCATGTCCAATCTTGGAAGAGGCACTCGTCCTACACAACCATGGCCACCACAAACTAGAGGAAAACCAGCATGGCATCGACGGCGGTGGGGTCGGTCCTTAGTTACGCATAGTCAGAACTTGCTGACGTTCTTTGCGAGCAGTGATTGGCGTCCGGGCGCAGACCGGAGGCTCTAGATTTAGGCCTCCCTGCCCAGACCCATTTTGCAGTGAAGACATCTACTCCCTCTACATTGTCGCTGAGGTGCATGCTGAGGGTATGGCCATCCATGGCGAGCCTTCTACTTGCAACATCGGGTGGTGGTTGGAGTGCCATCCAGGATGATGGAACGGGACCACCCCTACCCGGATTCCGCATGTAGCGGGTGACTACCAGGCATGGTGCCTGACAACCTCGAGACAGGCGATTGTGGGGGTCCAATCTGGATGTCTTGGACGGACTTCCGATGGCCGGAGCATGATAAGTTGTGGGAACCTGGTGGGCTTTGGTCCATCGTGGCTCTCGGATCGTAGGTGCATGGTGGGCTTTGGTCCATTGTGGGAGCTTGGACGGTCGTCCGATGGCCGGAGCGTGATAGGTTGTGGGAACCCCGTTGAAGGCATTGCTTAGATATGCTTGGGTTGGTTTCCTTCTCGGTGAAAACCTAGATTCTGGTGTTGGGTGGTTTGATCGAGCGATGATAGCGATTGAGCCTCGCTCCCTTCCTGAAGGCGATGTTTGCAGAACCTCGTCTTTCGTATGATGTCATGAGATGGTTGGTACGGATATGGTCATTGTTGTAGTTTGTCGATCACAGATTTGATCGCTTGAGTCTATTTTTTACTCACTTACACATAATTTGTTAATGTCTTCGCTATTTGACGGTGTGTTTTTATGTGCGTGCCTTGATGTTGTCTATGTGCATCCTAACTATGTAGAGACTGAGCGTGTATTCATTGTGTTTGTATGTTCTTGTTGCTTCATTTTTGAACTAATAAAATTCACCATTTGTCGAAAAGTACAGCGGTATAGATATTGTTTTGGCCGTGATGCATGTGCCCTGATGCATGTGCCATCAGGGCCACTCAAGCAGTCGCGCGCGCTAATCATTCGCAGTTAGGTTGGTTAGTGTCCGGATTCTGAAACCCTGTCTTTCCTAGCCTTAGGATCTACTAAACGACAGCAGTTGCGCATTTGTAGTATCCTTCCTGAATTTTTCTTCAGAGGATTTCGCTGATCAGTGTTTATCTGCGCACTGAGCTCCACTGTACAGAGCTCACAGCTCTCACATGCCTGAAACGTCGTGATCGTCCGACTCGACGGCGCACATAACATTTTATTCCAGTTGGACAAATGGCTTTTGTTAAAACATTTCCTATGAATTTTAACCAAGGACAACTTGACAAAGCGTAATTGGACAGGGCCTACTAGGTGTAGTTTCTGTGATCGGGATGAAACAATTAAACATCTTTTTCTTGATTGCCCACTAGCTAAAATTTTATGGAGGACAGTCCATATTGCTTTCAATATTTCTTCATCGAATTCAGTCAACACGTTACTTGGAACGTGGCTTAAGAGGATAGAGCCCGGGTTAGCGAGACATATTCGTGTGGGAGACAGTAGCTCGGGATATCTTCAACCGGTTTGGATGACAGTAGCTCGAGACATATTCATGGATCCGCCAACCCATCATACAAACCAGCGCACATCCCCTCTGTCTTGGGCTGATCTATTTTTTAACCTTTAAAAAATTGGTGCATGAGATAGGATTTGAACTCCCAACCTCTTAGTTTAATTCGCCAAACTCTAACCAACTAGGACAGCTTAAGTTGTTCTGCCTAGTTACTCCTTTTATTCTTCTTGTTGTCCATCTTCTCGGTCGTTTTTTGTTTTGTTTGGCCATTTTATTCTTCGGTTTTATTATTATTTATTATTTTCTTTGTTAAACACGTTCTCGTCCTCCTGTTAACAAAATGAGTCGCGCGCGTTGACGTTAAATACATACAATTAATGCAAACAAAATATATTAAATATAAAAGGTGAGTGTGTTTCAGTCCGCATGCATAAGATGGATGGATGATTCATTCCGGGTTATGTGTGCACATGACCCACAGGTTCTCGTCGCATGAGTCGCCATGTCTGTCCTCAGGAAAAAATTAAATTAAATGCAAAACAAAAAATGAGTCGCGTTTCAAGGAACAAACGAAATGTTGCCGTCTGGTCTCTGCGTGGTTTCAATGTAGATTTTACTAATTTAAATGCTTCGGTTATTTGCAATTTCCGTCGTTATCAATAACATGAATATTTTCTTATATCCTAACCATTTCTTGAAATTTGTCAACAATTTTAGAATTTTAAATTGTGTATGAAAATTTTATAAACTTGAACACTTTTTCTAAAATTGTTAACAAATTCGCAACAACTGATGTTGAACACAAATTGTTATCAATCCACATGCTGACAAAATTTGGTGTCATTTTGTGCATGATAACAATACATCATGTTCAACCAAGATCGTTCGAGTCAGCCGGTAGGGCAAGTTTTGAAGCACTTTCTTTACCTCCACCAAACATACCCAATATTTTTCCACACAACGACAACACCATGGAAAACACGCATGCCAAGCTTCGTTGGTTTCCGACATTTCATGCATTATTTAGGGTTTTCCCAGCAAAAAAACCTTAAACATAGGCCGAACGTGACACAATGTGCGTTCGGTGTCCGAAATCGTTTAAATTTTGTTTGGGGGGCTACCATGGGCATGCCTACTCACTGGCAAATTTTTATGTCGCTCTACGCATGGCACCAAACACACCATGTACAACTTGGACCTTTTAGGTATCCCGTATGGCAAGTCTCGAAGCATTTTTTTTACCTCCATCAAACAGACCCAATTTTTTTTTTCACACAATAGAAAAATAATGGCAATCATGTGGGGCCAGGCGATGCGACGCGACGACTTAATTACGGGGCGGGTGAGACGGCATATGGGGCAGCGGAAGTGGCACGGCAGGCGAGGCATCAGCGGGCGAAGGAAGCAAAGTGATTGTCGTTGGTTGCGTTGAATCGTCGCACGTGCTCGCAACACAAATATCACGGCCCGGTGCAGACATAAATCAAAAATAAATCATGGCTGCCCCGCGATAAAAAAAAGCAAAACGCGTAGAATGTGTCGTTACGTGCATGCCGTTTGCTAATGCGCCCCTGAGCAAGTGGTAGCTGGTTCGACTCTGCAGGCTCCGCCTTTTTTTGACTATCTCGAAAACAAATCGAGGTCGGCGCTCACGTAAAAGAAGGTACTCACCGCGGATAAAAAAACGCCTCACACCGTGGGCGTAAAAATACATATACATAGTGCGTGTGCTGGCGGGTCACTTTTACAAATACGACCATTATGCCTTTACTAATGAAGGGGTATCAGATAATCTAAACCGTCCATGTGTTTAAGGGGGTCTACCGAAGCAGAAGTGTCTTTTGGCTAGTTAGTGGTTCTAGCCTTTTGGTTCTGTGTGAGCCTTTTTTGTCTATTTTTCTTTGTTTGTGGAGACTTTGAGACCTTGTTGAACCTTTTTTATTTAATTAATAAGATGACCGTATGCATCATGCTGATACAGACGCCGGGGAAGCACCCTTTTCGAAAAAAAAAAAAATGACCTGCAACTTCTAAATGCCATGCCTAGTTCCTTGCACAAATGGCTTTTATTCCAGGGTACTGTCATTTTTTATGAAGTCTCCTTTGCATGCAACAAGTTACCTGCCCAGATTGACATGGATCTTTTTGTTTCAGGCCGCTGGAACATTTTGATGCAAAGAAATGACCTGCAACTTTTGTGATGTTGCATGCAAAAACGAAGAATGCTGTTAAAAAACGAAGAATTTCTTGGTTTTTTCAGACCGCTGGAACATTTCAGCGTTAAAAAACGAAGAATGCAGACTGCCTCAAGAACCAGTTTGGCACAATTCTGTGATGTTGCTGGCCTGATTTAAGCATTTCATTTT